GTGAAACGATGAAGAGAGGTACGGTGGAGCCACAACTCAATAACGGTAAACTCCTCGGAGCAAATTTGACAAGCCGTTTTGTTCGGCAGGCAGGTTGCCACGGCGTGTCTTCTACGGTTGCACGGGCAGAGTTGCCTCTGCATGCTAGCGGCCGCGTGCTTCTCAAAGACTTCCACTGTTCACAACAACGCTGCTGCACAACTCGCACATCTTCGTGGCAGTCCGTATGCGCCCGACGTGCCGCTGCCCGTGCGTGCCCCACCGATGGTGTTCACAATGTGCTTGACGAGCGCACTTTGAGCCTCCCTTGCCATCCCTCCTCCCTCCTCCTTCCCTGCTCCCTCATCCCTCCTCCTGCTCCCTCCCTCCCTCCTCCCTCCCTCCCTCCTCCTCCTCTTCGTCCGCCTCCTCCTTTTCCCTGCACCTGTTCCTCCTTCCGCCTCCTCCTCCTCCTCCTCCTCTGTCTGATTACGCACGGTGCCATCGGCAAACAACTCCTTACAGACATACCTTCCGCTCTGCACGGTGCGGCTCGTTTGAAACTTAGAGCGCAGCTCACCTTGGCCGATTGGAACGACATCCGCCCAGTCCTGGAAACAACTATTCTTCAAGTTCCCCCCCTCTTCCACAAGCTCCCCACCCTCGATCTCCTGAAGCGCCTCAAGATCATTCTAGAACTGGATGACCCAGGGATTCGCATGTTGATGTACTCCCCCCCTCCTCCGTGACCATGCTCCCAACCACCTCCGAACGCCCACAACAAGTGGCCAAAAACTGCATGTGTTGCTCCCTGTCGTTCACCACCGCCTCGAGCCACTTGATTTTGTGGTTCTGCAATTTAGTAAATACGGGGGCCAGGCGGAACTTCTTCAGAATGTTTGTATTCGAGACGGTGCAAACGTGATCCCCACCTGAACGTATCTCCTGATATGCACTTGCACTTGCGAGCAATGAACCTTTCCAAGCCCTGGAGGTCCGATGCCGCGACGAAGGAGGAGGAGGAGGAGCGGAGGAGGAGGAGGAGGAGGAGGAGGAGGAGGAGGAGGAGGAAAGGAGGAGGAAGAGGAGGAGGAAGAGGAGGAGGAGGTGGAGCTGAGGAGGAGCCGAGAAGGAGGAGCTGAGGATCGACAGCGAGAGCCTGATGTCGTTAGGCAGGTAGTGGGTGGGCGAGTGAGCGAGTGGGTGAGAAGAAGTAGGGCCATCGGGGTCGAGGGGTCAAGGTGCTCTTTCATTCTAGGCGGAGTCCAAAACCAACAAAAAGGCCTCTCCCAAGCCGCTGGAGGCCGCCAGAGACCCCTTAGCGTGGGGGGGGGGGATCAGGGAGCGAGGCGGAGCTGGGCCCTGCGGCAGCGGCGGCTCCTGCCGCAGGCCGCAAGCGGGCATACTTGTGTGCCGTTCCGCGCGGATTTCTTGCATCGGCGCCTGCCCCACCCCCCCCCAACCCCCACCCGGCGGCGCCTCCGACGCCGCCCCTGGCGCGCTCCGGGCGGCAGGGAGACTTCCGCGCGGAGCGCCAAACATTTTGCTTACGCCGTCTATGTTTCGTCTTCTTCTTATACCATCGGGGCTCAAGAGGCGGAGGTC